CTCGTCAGACTCTAGGCCACCGTAGAGGACAGAGGTGTCACCTGCAATGCCTGACCTGATTTAAGCTCTCCCTCCCAGGCTCCTGGGCCCACATAGTTCAACACAGGTGGCCAGGTGGTTTTCTCCTGCTGAGAGCCACAGCCGAGTCGGAATGGTCCCTGGCATTTTGCCAATAGTATTGGTTGAGAGGCGAGCCATTAAGATGATGCTGGATTGATTCAGTTGTATGTTAGACCCCTGCTGTCCACCTCAGCCTGCTACTTTGAAGTTCTTGCACTTACTTTGGAGTTCTCGCGGGGATTCCTGGAGAGTTCGCGTTGGTTGGGGAAGTGCCGGGAGAGGGAGTTCCGGTTGGTGTGTGGTGTTCCTGGAGGAGCCGTGTGGGTGGCGTTTGGGAGAGTTCCCGGGGAGCGTGTGTGGAGTGTGCTGGTGGAGTTCAGAAATAAAGTTTGTTCCTGCTTGAGTGGCTCGTGATTTGTGCCCGGACAGACTGCGGCATTCTCCGTGATCCAGGGCATTCTGTGAAAGCTGAGGATCCATTCTGGTCTGAGAACCCTGGGGGCACAGTGGCCTTTGTCTCATACCAGCCTGATAGGAGAGCAAGCCTGATAGGGGACATATTGGTGAAGAACTCGGGATACCCACGAGGCAGAGATGGGGCAGACAGACCCTGGTCATGTCTCAGATACCGTCCAGCCAGAACCTGTTCACCCCCCATCTTACACAAGGTGCTTATTTCTAGCCCAAGAAGTGCTTCTGACCCACAGTGGAGTGGGTTGGGAGTGTGCTTCTTAACTAACACCTTTCATCTCCTTCCACCTGCTCAGGTGAGAGAGGGTGTAGCTGCGGTGCGCCTGGGATGAGGGCAGGGAAGAGCATCAGGAACTCACCCAGAGCCCAGGGGCTGCTGTGTGTCTTAGTGACAGGGAGCAGGTGGAATCCAATAGTCCTCTGAGGCCAGATGAATGCCACAGTTGACCAGGGACCTGAGCCCCTCTCTGGGTCAGTGTGTGGGACATTAGCCAAGCCTGGTCCCCAGGGCAGCAGCGTCTGCCTCGACCAAGAGCTCTTGCAAAAGGGCAACCTATCGACCCATCCTGCGCCCGCGGCACATGTTGCTGATCAATTTTTGACAGTGCAGACCTGGCTGATAAATTCATCTCCAATCCCGAGGAGGCCCCAGCATGTCTCTTCCGCAGAAGTGAACTTTAATTTATTTAAATTTAATGGAAAAGCATATGGAGGGGAACAGAAAGCTAATTTAAAATAGTGCTCAAAGCAATCAATATGTTAACAGATTCCTTCAACTTTTTACGCTTGGCTGCAGGGAAAAAAAACGTACCAAAGAAACCTTTTAAAATGTAAGCTGATCCCTTCCACCCCCCTCCTCTTATATTATGAAAACACCATTTTTGATATTTGGGGCTGAATCTTGGAGAGTGAAAATCAGCCAGTCTTATAAACATTAAAATATGCTTTTGGAAACATAAATCATCTGACGAAGTCAGAAGTGGTGCTTACTGGGGGTAACGTTAGTCAGCGAAGACTCCTCTCGGTGCTCCTGAGCAGGGAGGCACCTGGGGGCCTTCAGATCAACCATGTCTCCCCCCCCCGCGCACTTGTGTCTTCGGGTCTCCAGAGTGGGCGTCAAGTCCCGGGGGCGCTCGTGAGGAGTCGGGCGTGGTGTGAAACCCTGCCCTAAGCTGCGAGGTGGACAGCTGCTCACATGGGGACGTTGTGTCCTCGTCTCCCAGAGACTGCTGGTTCTTTGAAGGTCACAGAGGAGACAGCCCTGGGGGAAGCACCCTGGGCCCCGAGAACTTACTGGATGAAGCCGAGTTTATCTCAGGAGAGCGAGGTCAACAGAGGGCTTCCCGGCCTGTTCGTGCACAGGGCTGCAGAGTCAGATGGGCCACCACCAGCCACCTCTTTGTTGTATTCTTTACTCTTTGCCTCTTCCGTGGTGGAGGCAGCATCCCAGGGAATTAAGGTCACAGACTCTGCAGCAAAGGACTCCAGCTGACCTCTGCCTCCAGCAGCTTCTCTTCACGCCTGCCTCTGGCACTGATGTGCTGGGGGCGGGTGGGGAGCAGGAAGAGCTACGGGAGAACTTCCCACGCGTTTCGTCCTGGGCAATGCGCACTGAGGAAACTCACACCCGGGGGTGGGGCCTGAGCCGTCCTGCTGGAGCCCTGGCAGGTGGGAGCCCTTGCACAAGTGGACACTGGGCGAAGGAAATGGGGCAGGCTTAGACATCTTCATGTGTACATTGCCACTTCTGTTCTCTCGCTTGGATGCCAAGAGCAGCCTTTTAAAGGGAAATCAAACCCATTCAAAGATGGGCACCTTCTCTGGGCTTTGGTGCTTCCTCATTCCTTGAAGCACCTTAAGGTCAGCTGTTTCCCGATTGAAATCTGGAAACTGACTTTGAGCACCATCAGCATCCCAGTTCTCCTGCCCCACTCGGCGGTGGCCTTGGAGGGGCTGGACCACGTTAACATTCTGGGGATGGTTCCTGCTCTTTGGCCAGGTGCATGGAGCCCTCATTTGCTTATATATTAGAGAGAGAGAGAGAGAGAGAGAGAGGAGAGAGAGAGAGAAATAGGAGGAAAGGCTGCAGAGTCATTTTAGAATTTCACATGTGATCAAAATCTGCCTAATTGTATTTTCTCCTGGAAGAAGGAGCACGTCATGACTACTGAGTTACCTCCAGCCTTGTGTTCAGGTGGCTTCATTTGCATAATGTGTCCCCAATAGGGTTTCCTTGTCTGAGAGGTTGCAATTCAGGCACTGCCAGCCCTCTGCTTCTGAACCGGCTTCCTGGCTGGCCAAGAAAGTGCTGGCTTCAATGTCATCAGGATTGGGGAAAACGTCTTTCGCCAAGTGTCCAGCGGTGGCCTTTAGAAGGTTCAAGAGTTTCAAGGGTATTCTCCAATCGGAAGATGAAGTCCAGGAAAACAAAGGTGGCTCCTCTCTCCCACGGAGACGACAAACCTCGTGGAGAGAGGGACTGCAGGTGATCCCAGCAACACCTCAGGAACAACAGCGTGTGTGAAGTGTGACCATAAGGAAGTCATCATGTCCTCTTAGAAAGCCAGAAGGGGCAGCAAAACTGTGGCCCAGGAGAATGAGAACTGGAGGGCAGTCTCTTCTGAAACAACAAGAAGCACAGCCCGTCTAGCACCTGGCCTTACACGGTCCTGTGCAGCAGCCAGAACAAGATCTAGAAAAACGGCTCTCCAGGACTCTGAGAATGTTCGATGCCAGCAAACGACGGCTCTAACACGAGGGGCATGGGGCACAGTAGAGCAGAGCAGGGCCAGGTGTCCACAGACTGGTATTGGCATGAGCTGGGATTGGTGGGGAGAAGCATGGCATCACGTGCCAAGTGTCCCTATTGTGGTAGAGACAGGTGGACTCAGGAGCCACTCAGCTGGCCAGCCTGCTGCATGCTCCATGCCACTCTTCTCACTCAGCCTCAGGGTGTCCCTTGCAGTGCAGAGACCAGGGCAAGCCTGGCAGCTGTGAGAGCTGAATTGCCTAACCCAAGGGTGCCTGTAGGAAGCTGCCCCTGTCTGCATCAGACCCAAGCAAGCCTCCTCCTCCCTGTCATCGATGCTGACTCTGCAGGGTCTGGTTAAAGACGCCGTAGAATGTCATCAGAAAGGACTTCATCCAGGGATTTCCAGCCCTGTCCACCTGCTCACAGAGTGGAACTGGCCTGCTGGTGTCATCAGAAGCCCAGCAGCCCCAGCCAGTGCAGCCAGGACCTCTCAAGATGCAGGCGGGCTTCGGCCCTGCAGGGTGGCCTTCACGGGGGCTCGCCCTTCTCTCTGGGCAGGGCTGGCCAGGACAGGCCCTCCCTCGCGGCCCACATGGAGAACAGCAAGGGCGCGGCCTAGAGGGATAATATGCGAGCTATAAACGGGAGCCCACTTCTATTTTTAGAAACAGCGTTCCCAGCTGTGCAGTGTCGTGAAAGGTTGTAATTTCTCTTGGGCTGAGGGGAGAATGTGTCTTCACCGGTGAGAGGGGAATGTGTCTCAGATGCAGAATCTGAGGCAGCACGTTGGCCCAGGCTTCCTTCCTGCTGCCCAGGTTGCCTGGGCAGCAGAGAATTGGACACTTTGGCCCCAGAGGATTAGCCTGGGTGTTCTGTGCCTAGGCTGAGCCAGGGTCACCACGAGGTGGCTACTCATCAGCACTTCAGGGCCAGGAGCACCAGGCTGTGGTGAGGATTAAACATACCCCAAGTGCGTGGAGTGATCTTGTCAGAGGGCTGCTCAGTCAGTGCCAGCTCGTAGCGATGGGGGGGAGATTTGGGCAAGTCACCATCCTGTCCTGATTGTCACTGTCTTTCTTGTGGGTCACGCCAGGGCTCCCATCTGCAGCTGGCCCAAGGCAGAACGTGGCTGACCACACAGGGCTGGCAGGAATGTGCACTTTGGGCCATCAAGGACAGAGGACAGGGCTGTCTGCAGCAGGGAGCCTCAGGCTAAATGGCCAGTGCTTCTGCCCAGGGACCAGGGCCGAGTGAGGGCAGGCACATGGCAGGCTTTGAACCCAGCAGGGCTTCTCCAGCCTGCACGGTTCCGGCCCCTTCATCCCAGCTGCCTCAGTTTCCTTATCTGTAAAGTGGGTCCCTCTTGCCTGAGCCAAGGTGGGTGGCCTACACAGGGGCTGCGCTTTGAAGTAAATGGAGCTTGAACCTCACCCCAGCCCCTCTATTGGGCAACTGTCAGTCAATCCCACAGAGCGCACACCCAGAGACCAGTAAGAAAAAAACCAACTCTGGCTCTTTTACAGAAATATGATTTTGCCCGATTGTTACTCCAGTCGCCATAGTTCTAGGAACTCAGTTGGACGTCTGGATTTTAACCCATATCAAAAATCCCACAGGAACAAATGAGGCCCGAGCGAGGGAGGGGGCGGTTGGGGTGAGAGGCTCTGCCTCCACAGGCCCACGTTTGAGAGAGGAGGAGCTTGGGGCAAAGGTGACAGGGCTGGGGGTGAGGAGCCTGGCTCTGGGCTGCTGGTTTCCAGGGTGGCCCCCACTGACTGCCCAGGGGAGGCACCAAAGAGCTTTGGGGACTGTGCACCCTAGGGACAGGGACACCGCCCTTGTCTCCCAGAGCTGGCCTGCTGTTTGCCCCACCCTGGAAGCAGGCGGAGGAACTGGCTCCCTGAACAGTGAGAACTGAGGAGAGAGGGAAGGAGCCCCACGCTGGTCACCGCTGAGCGGCCACAGGGCTCTGGGCGCGCTGCAGTCCACAGGCCCCCATGGGGCTGGGCTGGCCTTCCGGGCAGGGGCTGGCCTGGCTCCTCCTGGACGGGCCTGGGTGTCTTGGCAGGAATGGTGGTGTCGACAGGCCCCTGACAAGGGGCTTCCTCTGTGTTCCCGGGAGCCGGCCCTGTGTGTGGCAGTGGCTGTAGACAGACGTGAGGACCCGCGTGTCCTGGTAGGTGTGGGTGTGGGGGTGGTGCCCGCGGGTCTGTGAGCAGCAGGACGTGTGTGTGACCGTGTGTGTGACTGTGTGTCTGTGCATGCGTGGGTGGGAGTGTGAGCATTGCGGGCACAGCGGGCCCTCTCTGCCGCGGAGGGCCTGCCGTCCAGCACCTCCATCCTTCCCTGGGCTCGCACCTGCTGGGGGACTGGGGCAGAGTCCTCTGATGCCCTGAGCTTTGTGGGAGGGTCAGTTGGGAGCATTCCCACAGCACTAGGGGAGGGCGGTGGCTGCTGGCTCCCTGCTGTTTCTGACCACAAGAGCTGGTGCTCCTCTCTGTGCCCTGGCACCTGCCCAGGGCCTGGCCTGTGCGGGGCTGGTGGGGTATGCAGAGCTGAACTGCCCTTGAGAGCCTTGTGGGTGCTGGGGACACAGGGGAATGGGCAACCCAGGGATGAATTGGGCTGAAGGGTGGGTCTACCAGGGACCAGATGGGGACGTGGGTGCCCCTCTCAGGGGACAGCCATGCCAACCCCAAGGTCGAGGCAACACCTGTGCTAAGCCCAGACTGAACAGGACTCCTGCCATCCCTCACATCTACCCCACTCCTGCTTCCTCTGGATGGGGCAGAGGCCTGTGAGGGGCTGGTGCCCTGCGTCCCTGCATGATGAGCAGGTGAATGGCAGGCAGGCGAGTGGGTCACTGTCAAGGCTTCTGGGTGTCTCTAGCAGCCAGCCAGACTTCCCTGACCCAAGCAGCAGAGCTTCTCTGACACCTGCAGACCAGCCCAGGGAGCATGCGGGGGGATTCAGGCCTTCACAGTCCTGCGGGGAAGCTCAGGGATGGGCTGGCTGGGCTCTGCCCAGGCTCCCAGATCTAGAAGAGCTTCCAAGAGGCCTAGCCTGGGCCACCCGGCCAGGGGCCACCCTTAACAACAATCCCACCAAGGCAAGGTCTAATGTGGAGGCCAAGTTCCCCAAGTCAGTCTGTAGGAAAAATGGGGGTGGCTGCTGGTCAGGCAAGTCATAGCCCTCCAGGACCCTCACCTTCCGGGAACACAAGGCCGGAGGTGGCCTTCTTGTGGCATCTGGTGTCCTCAGGTTGAGGCCAACTAGCAGGTGGAAGGTAGGTTCCAACCTGCTCCACTAAGACGGCTGCCACTGCACGTGTCCCCGGGCTGCTGACCTGAGGTGGAGGCCCCTCATGCGACAGGGCGAGGTGGCAGCTCTGCAGGGCTGGTTTCCTGAGAGGCTCTTCCCAGCTCTGAGGCCCCCAAGACTCTACAGGGCAGGAGGGGGAATCTCACCCCCGCCCCCCGCCCAACCTCGTCCTGCTGGGAGGAGGTCCCTGTGGTATCCTCTTGTACAGACGACACGCAGGGCTTGTTCCTGGTGCCTGCATTTCTCTGTCTGGCCAGTAAGCCCGGCCTGCCTCAGCCCAATTATCCAGTCAGCCTCCTGCTGCCAATGGCCTCCCGTGGGTGGGAGGTCGGCCTCCTCTGGCACCAGCTGGTGTGGCAGCCGTTTTCCAACCTGAGCCTGTCCCAGCTGTGAGGTTGGATGACCCTTATTTTACGGACTTACCGTGAGGACTGCCCCTGTAACTCCCCCGGCTGAGCCCCACGTCTGCACACTGGCCGCGGGAAACAGGACACCAGCTGGACCGGGAGGAGCCGAGGGTGTGCGTGCTGGGGTCCTTGGAAGCCCAAGAGAAAGCTCATCCAGGGACACAGCCCCCCAGTTCCCTTCTGTCCAGGAGAAAGCCCCTCGCTCGGGCCTGGCCTCCTCGCTCTCTGCTGGTCCCTGCTGGGGCTGCCTCCTCTCTCCTAGCTTCCCAGCCCCGCTACCTGCCCAGTGAGCTCCGGGCCTCCGCATTTCCTCAGATTTCTGAGCCACGGAGATCCCTTTTCCTCGCTGGGGGGGGAAGGGGCGCCTGGAGGCAGGCATGGTTTTCTTTCTTTGCTGTCACACAGATGGCGTCCCTACCTGGTGGGGGCCCCTGGAGACTGTCGGGTCGAGAGTGGTTTGTATTGTCACCATCATCGTCATAGAAAACATGGGCTTTCAGGTCCCAGTTGCCCTTGGCTGATGAAGATTCCCGGGTTCTACAGTTTGTTTGTGCACCTGACCCACAGATTCATTCCAGGACAGGGTTTTCCTTGTGCTCAAATAGCCCAGCACGAAGTCGGGGCTCATTATACGTCGTTACAGGTCTCTATTCAAGGTCTTTAAAGAGGACATGTTGATGTCAAGTGAGGACACAGCTAGTGATGCTTCTGCCTAGAACCTTCACTGGCTCCCCAGCACTGCTCTATAGGACAGCATTCAGCACCTTGGTGTTCTGGGCTCTGCTGGCTTCTTAGCTGTCCCTGAATGGTCACATTTGGGTATGCTGTTTTTGCCGTCTTCAGTACTCTTACCATGTCTCCCTGGGATGGCCCCAATTCACCTCTCACTGTAGGTTTGGTCACCCCCAGCCTCCTCCAGCTCTACTCTAGAGCAGGAGGCTACTGCTGGTCTCATGGAACCCCTCCCTCCCGCCAGCACCCTGCTGGCCTGGCTCAGGATCACCATGTCCTCTTAGGAGTACCCTCCCATCTCTGAGCTCTAGGAGGGCAGGACTGTGCCTGTCCCAGTACCGGCAGCATTCGGGACCCACAAAGGGCTCAAGCAAACGAGGAAGTGGGTGTTCTTGTTTTGTTCCGTGTTTTAGCAAAGAAGTTTCAGTTCTGGTTCAAGAGGATGCATTACGTATTCCTCTTCTCAATGATGTCACCTCTGGCTTTGAAGAAAATTTTGAAAATGATAAGCACCTTGCTTACTGGGTTCTTTCTTCAACATAGCATATGGTGTGTTGAGTTTTTCAGTCAGATCAATTATTTGTTCACACACACACACACACACACACATCGACATCCAGCAGTTTGGCAAAATTAAGTCCCTGCTTTCCTCTGCCTGGACTCTGGATCTGGGATCTACAGCCCAGGTTCCCATGGGGCCTGCAGGAGCCCAGCCCAGGAGCAGGCGGGGGAGAGACCCGGACAGGCACATTTTCTGTTTCCATTTTCAGACAATTTCATGCTCTGGGGAAAATGCTTTGAGAAGAGGCCCCCCTCCGCCAGCCTTCAGCAGGTTAGTTTAGCTTAGTAATTAGCAATCACAATATGAGCTGGGATAATTATCCCCAAAAGTCAAAAGAAAAACACAGATGTTTTTAAAGCTGCGCAGTAGAGACTTTGCCTTTCGATTGTAATAATTTAGCATGCAAAATGAATTAGACGCTGGCTTTTCCTGGGACTTAATTTCCAAGGTAGGTTGAGGAAAATCCGACTGTTTTTGAAACGAGCAGTCTTGGACGAGGAGGTGGGAAAACACAGGACAATTTTCAGAATCCAGCAAGAGGTGAGGGAGGCCGGATTGAATAAACTAAGGAGTTCTCTGCCCCTGGGACTGGAGTTCAAGCTTCCTCATCTTTGAAAACCCGTGGGAGGCTTCTCTCTGCTGAAACACAGATTGACAGGTGTGTGCTTGAGGCTTGGTGTGGCTGCCACGGCCCCCGAAGGTCAAGAGCAGGATGGATCAAGACAGAGGACACTCCATCCCCCTGGTCAGCTCCAAGGAGGCTCAGGGCGGCTCCGAGGCTGCAGCTCAGTCCTGCGGGTGCCTCTCCCGTTTCCTCACTGTGCCCCCACCACTGTGGGAAGCTGTTTAGCAGGGAGGTCTCGAGGGGTGAAGGTAATTTCCGTTCTGCCCTCTGAAGGTTTGCTGGGATACACTGACAGACACCGGAAACCGGGGAGACCGTTTGCAAACTTATCACGTGCGCAGGGGAAATCACTGCCCCTGACCTAACACAACTCAGAAACCTACATGTGTCGGGGAGGGCAAGATGGGAACACTAGATCATTTTTAGGGGAGCTCAATGGGCTTGGAGAACATACAAGGGCTTGGGACAAAGTCTGATTCAACCCTCTGGAGACAGGTGAGGCTGAGAGCAGCCACCAGCCAAGCCTCGCAGCATCTGGAGTGGGCTACGCCTGCAGAGAGAGGGGAGCTGGCCGAGACAGCAATGTCCCCCACTACCACACGGATGCTGCGCAGGAGCTGCAGACCCCAGCAGGGCAGGACCCTGCAGCCTGGGGGAAGAGCAGCCTGGCTTTAGCAACCTGCCTGGTTGGCAGGGCTTTTCCCCCTGGTTGGAGGTGGGCAGTGAAGTGGCAGGTCAACTTGGCCACCATGTCCCTGAGTCTGTTTCATTCAGAGCTTGCTAAGAATGGTTGAGAGGTACGTGTAACAGGCAAGGGTTCTTTCCCCTTCTCTTAAGCATGATTTGGGCTTTTGAACTTTCTCTCCTTCTGTTTTCTGGTATGCTGTTGCTGCTGAGAATCATGGGAGTCCCCAGGAGTCCTGTGGCTGCAGGGGAAGATCACACCAGCAATGTCAGTCAAGGGTTGAGCATCTGAGTAGGCCAAGGCCCAAGCCAGGGGCTCTCAGAGGAGTAGCCTGGTGTTCCGAGAGGTCCAAGGCCACACAGTTGATGGGTGTCAGAAGATCAGCACTCCTGGCCTTCTCTCTGTATCATTCCCCATATGGGCCCCAAGCGCTCCTCAAAGTGGCAGGGTGCAGTTGATGGTGGAATAAATGAGGTTGAAATATGCAAGGACTTGGTGGAATTATTTAATCAGCCCCATATTAGAAAACACGTGGCTTCAAATTGGATGCCAGGGCCCGTGTGTCCTGCTCTTCTTCCCAGTCCTGGACCCCGCACTGCCCTGAGTGGGTGCCCTGGGTGTCAGCAGCAGCTATATCCCCAGTTCTTCATAGCCAGGGGGGCGCCTCCCGGGCAGACTGGAGAGGCATCCTGAGCCCCTGGGAGGACCCTGGGTTGGAGACGGACACTGTGCTGCTGTGGAATGTCCAGTGGACCATACGTCTTCCCTATCTGGAGTCACTCTCATTTTCAGGATCAGCAACTTCCTGTTTGTCTTTTAGGCTATTTATTCCACATTTTCCAATAATACAAATAACAAGGGCAATGATTATCTTCAGTTCTGCCTACATCTTGACTGATTCCTTTGAGATAAAGCCTTAAAATAATTACTGAGCCAAGTTCACCCATCTCTTAAAGGCTTTCTCCATGGCTGCCAGATTGCTTATCGTGAAGATTTAAACCCCAGGCTTGTGGGGGGCGGGGTCTGCCCCTTTGCTTTCTGGATAGGGCATCATCTTTGCTAATCTACTTGGAGAAAAGTAACATCCCAGTATTCTAATTTTCCTTTATTTGTTTAATGGTATTAAAAGTCTCAACAAATTCAGTCTAAAGATCTATTGGCCTTCGTTAGTGATCCACGAAGGGAAATCATCTCACCTAAAAATTTAGAAAAGGTGTCCAGGGACCCGAGCAGAGAAGGTGTGCTTACTAGGCAGACAAAGGACCAAATAAGCAGAATCAGGGAACAACAAGTGGGTCGGTCATTTCAAAGTTACTTTAGAAGGTTAGCAGAGGGGACTTGCTCATCATGCCGGCTGGGATGGCCTCTTCAGGATCTGGCCATCTTCTCTCTCCTGGTTTCTCAGAAGGTTGGAGACTTCACTTAGTTTCCGTTTGGTGACGTGGGGCTGCAGCAGGAGTGACTCCATTCTGGCCTGGTCCTGGGGGCTCAGTGCGGGAGCTCAGCCTCTAACAATGGCAGCTCTTAGATCCCACTTGACAAGGGTGAGGCTGAGCGGGTTTCCTGGGATTGAGGATCATTCGTCTTCCTGGGTGGTTCGCCCGCATATGATCTTTGCCCACATGTCCCTGGTTGTCCCACTCAAAGCTGCTTCTCCTGTGCCAAGCTATCAGCTGTTTGCGCTCACACTCAGCCGGCTTCTGTGGTTCTGCGTTTACACTAGTGGCATCTAGCACGATGCTCCCAGGAAGCCACACGTGGCTGAAACTTTGGTCTAAGGCACTGTCTCCCCCCCACTCCCACTTTTTAAAATTGAAGCTTGGCTGAAACTGGAGAGTTCAGTGGGGAGGAAGTTCAAGGGGTCAGAGCATATCCTGTTCCTCATTTCGCAAACCACGCTGCTAATTGCCCAATTTAGAGTGATTTGGTGGCAACGCTTGGCAGCAGAATGAGAACTGCCTCACGCGTGAGGACAGCTGGGATATTTTCATTCTGCAGGGTGGCGAGTACAGGAAGTCCCGCTCCGAGGCCTCTGGGGCCCAGAATGCTGGTTTTGGAGTGGCACAGACCTGGGTGTGAGTCTGGGATCCGCATTGACTGAGTCCGTGTGACCCTGAGTTGTCGTTCGGCCCTCCGGAGCTTCCTGTGCCTGAAAAATGGGCTTTCCAGCTTGCCCTCCAAGAAGACGCCACCTTGGCAGGCGAGAGGGTGCCACCCAGGGCCAGGACCCCCCTCGGACCCCCGAGGTATGAACTGTGTGCACAGCAAATCTCCGTTTCTCCCTCCCTCCGTGCAGGGCTCCATTTCCTCTCCCGATCTGTAACCCAGCCTTGTTTTCCCACAGCGCTGAATGGAATGTGGCCACCGCGTCCGGGGCTTGTGGGTTCTCCGCACAGAACTCTGGGTCATGCCCTTGGCAGGAATCCCCGCTGGCTGCAGAGCACAGGAAGGGACCTTCCAGGCCCCCTTTGCCCTTGCCCTTCTTACAGGAAATGGAAATGCGACAGGGAATTTGTGACTAAATAAGCCCAAATCAGAAACTGGCCTGGTGATGGCGAGGCCATGGCCGCGGAGCTTTCCCTCCCGGGTGCCAAGCCCCGCGCTCAGCGCCGCAGTGCACAAGCGCCACACCACCCGGCTGTTCTGCAGCTGCCACACCACTCTCCCCTGGGGGCTCCCTGAGGGGACTCAGGTCCACACAGCCATGTGCACACTCAACACACTCACACAAACACACACACCACACACACTCACATGGACACACAACCACACTCACACTCAGAAAACACAGAGACACAGAGACACGCACACACACAGATACACACACACACGCCACTAACAGTCATGCGAGTTCATTCTCACACATTCACACGGACACACGTGTGCAGGCTCACACACTAACTCACATGCACACTCTACATACAGTGACACCGAGACACGATACACACCCACACGTATACACATGATTTAAAAACTCACGCGGGCTCACTCTCCCCTTCACACTCACACACACAAGCACGCAGACACACACTCACGCAGACACACACAGCATTGGAGCCCACTGTTGTGAGCCCGTGCTTGAGCTGCAGTGCTGGGCTGGCTCCGGGCCTTGCCACAGGGAGGACAAGCCCAGACGGAGAACCGCCCAGAAGACTGGGGGCCCGAGTGTCCTGGAAAACCACAGGATGAGGGTGACCCTCAAGAGAAGAGACCACTCAGGGCCTCCGTGAGCTTTCTGTGGGGCCCAGAGCAACTGCAAGGAGGCCTGGACACGGGGCCATCTTAGAGGGGCGGATTTGGGCTCATAAAGGACTATTAGTCAAGTTCATATGGAGCTGGGCCAGGGTGAGGCGTGAGGAGGACGGAGCCGAGGCCTGGTCTTCAGGGGAGGCCAGACCAGTGAATCAGGGGCTCAGAGAGGTGGCAGGCTGTGGGGCAGAGTCCAGGTGGCCATCTGAGCCCACATGGGAATGAGCCGCTGGTCACCAGTGTGCCAGGTGGGGTCGAGCAGCCAGGGCACGGGCACATGGGCAAGGGGCTCCAAGACCCAGGAGGAGGCTGGGAGGAGATGCCAAGCAAGACCCAGCAGCATGACTCCGGCCACTGTGCTGCACTGGACCGTCTCTTTGTCTCCCACCCCTCCTCCCCCTTTCTCAGGTGGTCTCCTCGGAGCACACCTCTAGTACCAGTGACCGGGAATAAAGAGTGAGTGGCCCAGCAGCCCAGGGAACCCTTTCCTTGACCAAAATCATCTGTTTCAGCAGGTGATGGCTGCAGGTGGGGGGCCAAGGGCTAGAGGGGTCAGGAAAGACGGAGGACAGCAGGCCCTGGCTCTGCTGCTAGTTTGCTCCGGGTGCTGAGTCCAGCACTCCGAGGCAGGTCACTTTGCCTCTCTGGGCCTCTGCTGGAGTTGTGCTTTCTGATTTCATGGCCATCCCAGCCCTGAGGGCTACAAGTGACCCTGGACTCACTGTGCCCACCGAGGGTGGGTGGGCGGACACGCCCTGCCGTAGGTGCCAGCCCAAGATCAAATGGTCAGGCAGGAATGTTTTTTCAGTGAGGCTATTTATTCCTTTGGGGTTTCAGAACAAAACCCCAGAGGCAAAAACCACTTACTTCACAGTCCCCAGCGGTTTCTTTCCAAGGATGGTATGAGCTGAGCAAGGACGGCTGCACCAGAACTGGGATCTTTCTCTCCACCCTCCTGGGTAAACCTCCATGCTGGCCACCCCACTGTCTGCTGCAAACGTGGACTGGCGTCTAAACAGATATCCCCAGAGCCTGCTGTTCCAAGGGAGGGGGGATCTACCAACGGCCCAAAGTAAATGGAAACATAAACACTTCCAGGAACGTACGTTTTAAAATGCAAAGAGCATGCCTGGAGATTTATGATGTGTTACTGTGATGGGCTCCCCCCTCCCAACCCTTGACTGATCTGATGCTGGTTAGACACCTGCCAATCAGACGTGAACTTGGAACGTTTCTCCAAGGGTCACAAAGTGGGTGGAGGTCCTTTCCATCAGCCACACCGACCCGAGTGGCCCAAGCAGGGCCAGCTTCTTGGGTGGACAGAGGGCCCAAGAGCCTCTGGTTTGATTTAATGTTCAGTTGTCTTGAAGGTCTTCATAATCATTAAACAAGGGGCTTTGTACAATATGCGTCTTGAACTGTAGAGCCAATTTAAAACGATCTCAAAACATCTAAGACAAACCCAGAAATATAAGCAGAACTTGAGAAATCCAAGTTGAACACATCTCTATTAATCAGGCAGCAAGCAAAACAGCACAGGTATTGAGTAAGTTTGATTTATACAGGAATATGCAAACTGTAGCCAAGATGTATTTACAAAAGTTTAAGGGCGTATGGATGTAAAATCTACAGTGTAAATAATTTATTAAGGGAACAAATTCATTTTATTCAAGTAAATCTCAATAAATACCAGAGCATTAAGATCATACTAACTGTCTCTGAGCACAAGCAATTACATTAAAAATCAACAGTAAACTCTTCAGCCTTCCACATCTCATGAGAATGTCTCTTATTGGTGGACTCCAAACAGAATTCTGAAAGGGGAATCTGAAAAATACAATCTTTTATTTATTTCTGGCTCCTGGTCATGTGAGACCTTAGAAGGACTGGGAGAGTTCTGGGAGCTAACAGATAGTGTCTACCACAAAATGCATTCGGAAATTAAAAAAAAAAAAACAAAAGAAAGAAAGAAAAAGAAAAGGAGCCAAAACAATAACCAGAAAAAGTAAAACAAAATGAAACAAAACTAAAAATCCCTGTGAAGTTTTAGTCACGTACATTTGTGAATTTTCTTTGAAAAGTAAGATGTACCATGCAAATCTAAGATATTTTATACCTGTAGGGGGTTCATTATCATAGGTAGGACATTTCACTGAAATAATTTTTTTTCCTGAAAAAATCCAGATAATTGTCACTAAAGTGTTTTTTGCTTTTATTTTCTGAATAATTATTTCAAAATGTTGTTTTAAGTGAGTAAATGTATTTATGTGCATCTGTAAAAAAAAAGAATCAACAGTAAAAAGATAAAAGTATGTTTGGAGGTTTGCTATGGTTGGTGTCTCCCCAGATTCAGGATGTTGACACCTTAGCTTGCAGGGTGATGGTTTTAAGGGGCAGGACCTTTGAGAGGTGATTGGCTTATGGAGGTAAAGTCCTCAGGAATGGGACCAGGCCTGAGAGAGGAGTCCTCATGTGGCCTTGTCCCTTCTACCAATGTGAGCACACAGCAAGAAGATGCTATCTGGAACTCAGAAAGCGGCCCTCCCCAGACACTGAATTGACCTGCACCATGCTTTTGAACATCCCAGCCTCCATGACTGTGAAAAATAAATTTCTCGTTTATAAATCACCCAGATGATATTTGTGATAGCAGTCAAGACAGACTGAAATAGAAGCTTTTAAGTATTGCTGAATAACGTATTGCGTTAAAGAAAGGAAATCACTATGGGAATTACGAAGTGTCTAGAATGAGACAAGAATAAAAGAAGAGTCTAGTGAAACTTGTGAGACACAGCAAAAGCAGCACTCAGAGGACAATGCATAGCCTCAGCTATGAGATAAGGCTTGAAGTCAAGCATCTAGGAAAGTACCCCCACCCAATGATAAATACAAGTTGAGAGTGATAAAATAGAAAACAAAATCACTGTAGACCTGAGAAATCTATGAACAGCATTCTGGACTTTATAAAAGTTTTTATTGACATAAATGATTTTTAGTAGATGCATCACAAACATAATCATTGTTTAACAGTTGTCTTCCATATAAGGCTATATTTCGTGCTTGGTTTTTTTCCTCCATTTTATCCCTATAGCCCAGTCCTGAAAAAGGACTTATTAAATATTCACAGATTGAATGAGTGGAAGGAATTCTAGTCCTGCCACTTACCATGTCCCTTTGACCTGGTATTTAATTAATCTGAGCCTCACTTTCCTAATCTGACAAGTGGGGAGAACAAACCTTCTCTCCCAGGGTAACATCAGAAGCAAACGAGGTGACTGTCACCTAACTCTCATGCAGTTCCTGGCTGCATCAGTGGAGGAGGTGAGATCATGAGCCCTGAATTGGCTCAGCCACTGCAGTGTGGGCTGCCTGCCCTGCAACCGCCCTTCATCAAGTCCCCAGCTCTCCAAGGGCAGCTCTGCACCTGGCTGTGGGGACACAGGAGGCGAACATACAAGGAAGGGGGAAATCTGGCCGAGAATCTGCCTGGGATGATGGCTTTCACATAACTGCTTACACACTTGTCACCTTTTTCTCACAATGTGAAAGCCGACTCCTCAGGGCAAGCGTGTTGTCTCATTCACCACCGTGTCCCCAGCAACCAACTGAGTGCTTCGCAGAGTTGGTGTCCCGTGAATGTTTGGGAACTGCCATTGGATGTCACTGATCTAATGTGTGACCTTAGGAAATCAGTTGGTTTTTGTCCCAAGATCTTACATTTTCATGGTCAAAAAGAATGGGGCTTGTCAAACACCGAGAGCCAAACGTCTGGGATTCTGGGACTCCGCTTTGCAATTACTATTATGATTCAGCCAATTGGAAATAACTCAAAATTTCTAATTTCCTTGCTCAGAGTTGCCAGTTCAGCTAGGAAAGGTCAGAAATCATCAACTCCTCCAAGTGTCCATGCTCCTGGAAGGCCATGTACTAAGTGCTCAAGTGCCTGTGCTGGTTAGGAAGAAAGGGAACAGAGGTGCCATCACTCATGGTCAGCAGT